ACACACACACACACACACACACACACACACACACACACACACACACACACACACACACACACACAGACATATGTGATGCTCAACTTTAGGTGAAGGATGTAGAGATCCTTGTTTGAAGCACCATAAACCCTCTGAAGCTGTTTCCAATGTCAGAATAAAAGTGAATGAGTGATGAACTGGATTTGCGTAACACAGACAGTATTTTTAAGGGATCACCCCCTGCTGCTGCTGCTGCTGTGCTATTCTGGCTTTTCCAGACGTGAGGTTTCTGTTTGCACTGTGAAAATATTCAGCCAGGATGTATTCATAAAGTTTTCTTTTTGCAAAATCCACTTGGTTAGAGCTCGCTCTCTGTAAGTCTGCAGCCTCTTCGCTCCTGCGCCCCGCTGAACTGGGGAAGATCTGATAAATGTTTAATGTAGAAACGAGGCTGTGGCAGCAGAATCAAGAAAGAAAATAAAAAGAAAGTGCAGCACAGCAATCCAGAACAATGTGAATAGAATTTAAACAGCTGTCACGTTATATAACAGTTATTTAGGCTGTATTGTGGTATTTGTACAGCGTTAGATAGCAGCTGGTCTGTGCTTCAGAGCTCCAGGTCAGAGCGACTGCACCATATGGAAAGAAAAATAGCAAAACAACTCCAGTATCTCTGCATTTATGAGAACGCACAGAATGACCTCCACCACAGTCCCCTTAGATTCAAACCAGCCTTGAATGGGTCGGAGTATGTGCAGCAGTCCAGGATGTGTTCAAGAAATAAAATATAGTCCCCTCACCTTCCTCTCCTTCTCCTCTGAACCCAAGGTGCGGCCTGTCGGTTACGATGGCAACAACCCGACGTCAGTGGCGGAGTGGCTGGAGTCGTTGGAGCTTGGCGACTACACCAAGTCTTTTCTCATCAATGGATACACGTCCATGGAGCTCGTCAAGAAGATCTGGGAGATCGAGCTCATCAATGTGAGTCTCAAACTTATTCCTCTTTCAACTGTGGAACAGTGTCCGTCTTACTGGACAGGACTGGTGATATTCTATAGTTTAGAAGTAACTTTAAACAGCGTTTTATCTGTGGATATTTGTGCAAAAACACAGTTTGCACTGAGTGACATGTTCCTCCATAACAGTGAGTAAATGCTCTGTGGTTTATTTTTGAGTTTATCCCACGTACACTGTCCTGCTGCCAGAAACGCTCACCAGAGCACAATGTGTGTATTAGACCGTGGCTGGAAATAGACCCAAACAAGTGCAGTACTCAGTACAGAACATTTCCCTAAAAACACCGAAATATAAAACATTAAAAAGTGGGAGACTTATTATTAAAGTTGGTTTTGGTGTTTTTTAGAGAATCAGTTGACAATAAGCAAAATATAGAATAAAACAAAGTTAATATGTGATGTCCCCAACTTTTTCTTTTCAAACAATGAGAGAGAGAAAGTCTTGATTAGGTTATTTTGGAGAGTTTTCCTTTGTGATGAGGGGCGGTGGTGTGGGCGGGGGCTCTGTGGTCCTCCTGCACATCTGTACACACATCTGGCTTTTTATCCAAAGTGAGGCTGAAGACGGTGTGAAGGTTTTCTCCGTGGGAGGATGCTGAGGCTATAATTGTGCAGAATGCCCACGAGACATTTCTTCTCATTACAGTAATGTGTGCTGAGAAAACAAACAGGGAGGAGGAGCGTATTTGCTGTTATATCATAACCTTACATCGTTCAGCTCCTCATCTCGCTGCACTTTGTCTGCAGGTTGAATTTTGCAGTTTACCGTGTTTACAGCTGCTTCCCTTCATTGAATCTCTCCATCTGTAATGGTGGATGATAACAAGGTTTGACTTTTGAGCTCCGTGTTGTAACAAGTGCTGCAGGTTTATGATTGAATTCTTCACCGACATTAAATCTTCACGACAGACGGGATTAACCGCAGCGTGATCGGCCGCGTGGCAGAGATGTGCCCCTTTGATGCTCAGACAGTGAAACGAGATCGTGCTCGGATGCAGGGGGCGCCCAATGAGCTGATTTCGATGAGAGAAAGAGAGAGAGAGGATAGAGAGAGATGAGAGGAGGGGTGTTTTTCCTTCCCAGTGGAGGATAAAGTGATAAAGTGATGAGTGATCAGCTGGAGGAGGTGGAGAGGGAGTTATATAAGCATGTGGGATGCAAGATGTTTCACAGCGCTGGGGATACCACCCACAGGCTGTGCGTGTGTGTGTGTGTGTGTGTGTGTGTGTGTGTGTGTGTGTGTTTCTGGATGCATATGCGAGATGGAACACGTGTGAATAGATGCTTATGTGTTTATATATGTTTTTAAATGTTCTTCTCTAACACAAACCAGGCTATAGATCTAATTTGCTTTTTTGTGGCATTATAGTTCTAAATGATCTAATACACAGATGGATAGATGAATGATGGATGGATAGATAGATAGGAGGGAGGGAGATTGATACATGAATGATAGAGAGAGAGGTAGAAAGAATGAAAGAAAGAATTGTTTTTTTTAAAGGAATCCCTTAAGTCTTTAATATGAACCTGCATGTGGATAAAATAAAAAACATACTTATCCTAATTAATGACTTCATCCTCTATCAGTAGAGAAACAGGTGTAGAACTGCTTGACACCACAAGAGGCTGCACTAGTGCACAACATGTACAGCAAGTGTGTCCACATACTTATGTCTACTTTTGGTGGCGGGCTGTTTTTTCATAGTGAGGCTCTTTGGTCTCAGTTAAGATTCACTTCAGACGATCTGCAGCAACAGGGGAAAACCATTTCCTGTTTAAACATGAAAGTGACCTCAGGCACAAAGCACCGTCCCTACATATACGGAGGAGACATTGTTCAGCAGGTGATCTTCAGTGAACCAACCCCTCGTCACATGCATGTCAGGTTCAGATGTCTGCACACAAACTAAAAGTGTGTGTGTGTGTGCGGCGTACAGGCTGTTTTGTAATGACTGTGCAGCACTGCAGCAGTACACTGTCTCTGAAGTAGTCTCTGGGGTGATGGAGAGGTCACTAATGCACCTGAGAGAGGTCTGTGTGTGTGTGTGTGTGTGTGTGTGTGT